CGAGGGACCCAATGCCAGTCCCTACACTTCTCTTTTAATTCCATCTTCCAGTCCCCCTGCATTATTACCCTGTCCATGCTGGGTGATCTTTATGCATTACTGAATCCTCATAGCCCCATGGCATATCAGGAGTCACGGGAAAGAAAACTGGGCCACGGAGCAGTGCTTGCCCTGGGTCTTCCAGCCAGCAGGTGCCACCTGTCTTCAACATGGGCTTTGTTCATCAGCTCCTGAGACTTCGGGAATGCACCATCCCAGCCTCACAGCTCAGCCACAAAGCATTTACCAGGGCTGTGCCTCTCTGATTTGGATGTGGCTTGGAGCAGAGGTTCTTGGGGGGCTCACTGGGGGCGGGGTGCTTGTTAATAACAGAGATGCAGGACTCACCCCAGAGCCCATTCTAACATGCTGTAGAGGTGGACCCATCAGGCCCCCCACGCCCTCTCTCTGGGACCCGTCACCCACCGCCTGGCCTCACCTTCACCACCTTTGACACCCGCACAGGGTGGGAGGCTCCTCGGAAACATCTCTCCTTCAGGAACGAGCAGATGATGTGCACGGCTTCTTTGACCTGCTCCCGGAAACGCGTGTTGGGCAGGAGCTGCTCTTCAATGAACTTGTCCAGGAGCTTGGCTGGGGTCTCCTTGAGCTCCATCATGAAACAGATAGGAAGCAGAGAGTGGCCAGACTGCCCTTGGAGCTCCGCGAGCTTTATGTTTTCCCCAAGTGGAGTCTGGACTGGACGGTGTCCAGTTTCGGTTTCTCTTCTAGGAGGAGCCGCAGCTGTGACCCTAGCATTTCCTCTTAGGGGAGTAAACCCTTGTCTGACCTTGCTGTGGAGTTGCACCTGTCTCAAACTTCCTCTTTGCTGTTCCACTAACAGCCTAGCCTTACTGCAGATGCTGACGACGTTGCTTGCTCACCCCCCAGCCTCACCCCCCTGACCCCGGGGAGGTCAGACAAAGCAAATCTTGTTCTGCCAACAGTGTGGCCGGCACTGGAGGTCCAGGCTGGGCCTCATTCCTGCGTGGGATAGGAGGAAGTTGCTTTCGGAGAGGATGGGGGAGGGGGAGGCTGCAGGGAGGATGGGGAGGGGTCCCTCACTGTTGGAATCTGACAGGTGAAGCACGCCTGGCATTTCGTGATGAGAACGTATCGCAAAATATTTTAAAGAAGTGAGTCAAAAGAAAGGATTTTGAATGCTTTCATCTTAAAAAAGATAATAATAAAAGGTGGAGGAGATGCGTGTGTGTGCCCCGATTTGGGCTTGGCAGGATGCAAACTTGTATCGAAACATCACACATGCCCTATGAGTATGGACAACTTTTGTAGACCAGGTGTAAAGACAGATTGAGGGGAATTCTTGGTTGTTTTTTTATTTGTTTCTTTTTTGATGTTGATAATGTCATAATATTCCATGATTTTCTATAACAATACATGCATGTTGAAAAAAACACACACACACACACACAAAAAGAGCAGTGGAACCAGAAGTGAAAAGATAAACTGGGGGCTGGGGTGGTGGTGGAGGAGCACGTTAAGCCGCTTGCCTTGCTGGTGTCCACAGATAGCTGGCTTGAGTCCTGGCAACTCTGCTTCTAATCTAGCTCTCTGCTACTGCACCTGTGGAGTTGCTGGGTGGTGGCCTCGGGTCCTGGGTCCCTGCCATTGACATGGGAAGCCCAGATGGAGTTCCTGCTTCCTGACTGTGGCTTGGCACAGCCTTGACCACCGTGGCCATTTGGGGAGTGAACCAATGAACGGAAGAGCGTCGTTTGCGCTCTCCCTGCTACTTTGCCTCTCTCTCTTTATTGTTTTATTTTAAATTTTTATTGAAAAGTTAGATATACAGAGGAGAGACAGAGAGGAAGATCTTCTATCTGCTGATTTGCTCCTCAAGCGTCTGCAACAGCTGGAGCTGAGCTGATCCGAAGCCAGGAGCCTGGAGTCTCTTCCGGGTCTCCCTTGCGGGTACAGGGTCCCAGGGTTTTAGGCTGTGCTCGACTGCTTTCCCAGGTGACAAGCAGGGAGCTGGATGTCCCTTCCTGAATGCCAAGGGCTCTTCATTGGTTATGCCCTGGGGACAACTCTGAAGTGTTTGTGATTGGACCCATTTTCCAGATGAGGGAATGGAGACCTAGGGAGGTGGCCAAGCTTGTACAGGCTGGACTTTCCCCCAAACCTCCACTGGTCCCCAGAACTTTATTTCAGAGAAGGAAAAGAAAAATCAGAATTTTTTCAGCTCGTGGCTGCTAAAATGTGTTTATCTCAGTCTGTTGGGGGCCAAGATGGACTATTAGCTTTGTTTTCTATTTCAGCGCACGACTGATGGTGGCCACCTGCAGCCCTGTAGGAAACACCAAGTATTGATTAGTAACACCTGCCCTAAACACAGGACAGAATGGCAGTGCCCAGTGGCTGAGGCCACCCTGTTCCCAGCTGCCACCTTTCGCCACCTGGTGGCAGGTAGCTGAACTGCAGGAGCACCTGATGCACTTCGTGTAGGGTGGCATTATAGAGAAGCCCACGACAAGGACCCGACGATAAATCTCCCAGTTGCTTCTGATACACTGCCTTCTGCAAGCAATGTGGAAAACTACACGTTAGGGACTGAGAAATTGTCTCCGATTTGGTTGGAAGGACAGAACTGATGCTTCTTTCTGGGAAATGACCACCAACCCTGCCCACATGCCCAGCCACGAGATGAAGAGGCTGTGTGGACACGAGTGCCCATCAAGCTCACTTCCAGAATGCAAGACCCACCCCAGCGAGGCCCCGGAAGTGGAGCCTCCTTGCCGGCTGGCAGGTGCTAGACCACAAAGGAGGTGACCTGTGCTGTTACCCCACAGACAGGAGCCCAGCTGGGCAGCTGCTGGCCTGGCACTGCCCATGCCTGATGTCTCAATCCTATGATACCTTTTAGCCTTGGCTGTGCCTGATACTACCGCCCTTGGGACATGCCCCAGAAAGGAAACAGGTATGCCCTCAGATGGGTAGGCATCAGCAGAATGTAGTCTCATGGGAATGGGGACGGTCAGGTTACCCTGAACCCACCTACACTCACACCTGCTCAAGAAGAGGTCTCCCCAGGGGGCAGGCTCCATGTGGACCCCCCTGCTGCATCTCCAGTGCCAGCAACATAGTAGCTGCTCAGTAAGTACCACCTGAATAGCAGTTAAGTTAGGGCTTGGGGGCAGGCACAGCTTCCAGACACCAGAAAGGAGGGATGGAGACCACCGCTTTCCTGGATGTTCCTACTTTATTGTTGACTATGTCATCACAAAGAGAGGCCACTGTACATGCACCACAGGGCGGTGTGTGTGTGTGTGCAGTCTAGTCAGGGGGCTGTTACGTTTGTCGGGGAAAGCGCGTGCCCAGGCTTGGGGCACCGGGAGCTCACTGCATGCCGATTCCAGCGCCAGTGCCAGCGTTGGGCCTGCGTGACAACAGCCAGCATGCAGTCCCCTATGGGCCAACTGTGGGGGCAAGGAGGGCCGCTGAGACGAGAGCCCACAGGGGACCAAGGCAGGAAGACAGATGGGGGTGCGTGTCGGGGCACAGCGGGTTCAGCCGCTGCTTGCTACGCTGGCATTCCATATCGGAGAGCTGGTTGACTGCTCTACTTCCCATCCAACTCTGTGCCAGCACACCAGGCAAAGTAGCCAGGGACAGCCCAAGAGCTTGGGGCCCTGCATCCCCATGGGAGACCCAGAGGAAGCTCCTGGCTTAGGCCTGGCCATTGTGGCCGTCTGGGCAGTGGGCAGCAGGTAGACGGTCTCTCCTGCTTGTCTCTTTGTGAATCAATCAATCTAAAAGCAAGGCAGTTAGCAGCCTGGCAGTTCCTGCCTGCCCCAGCGATGGTAACGGGCGTATACCTGGAAAGTGACCGCCAGGGGGAGAAACGAGTCCTTCAGGGAGCAGGTTGGAGGCGGGCGGGGGAAGCTGTAACTCGGGGCGGGAGTTGTGTCAGCCCTGGTCTGCTCTGCCGGCTTCTATAGAGAATAGAGTGGACCGCGGGGCGGCCCTCCACGGAAAAGGGGTGGGGTAGTGGAAGGGAAGCCTGTTCGGATCCAGCCTCCAGTTCATTGCAATTTGTGAACCGCCTGCAGCCACTGATGCTGGGGTCTGAGCTCTACGGGGCGTTATGTCCTAGGAGGCAGGGCAAAGCGGGTACAGGAGATGGAGACAGAGACTTTGGGGGTTCAGAAGGTGGGATCAGGCAGGGACGTCTGCCTATTTAACTCGTGTGAGGTAGGGAAAGTGTCGGAGCTCAGCCTTCCCCCCATCCCACATTCCGGGGGGACTGGGGCATAGAAGCCCCTCCATGGGACGTCTGCAGGACCCCGGGGTGCTCCCTTGTAACCCTCTGGTCCTGTCCCTGGAGGGGAGCTGACTTAGGAGGCTTGGTGCTTGAGGTTCAGGCTGGTCGGATGGGGTCCAGGCCATGGTGGGCGCCCCCTCCTCTTCAGGTATTGTTGGGACTCCCGGTGGGAAGGAGAGCGTGGCGAGGGGAAGGGTGGATGATGGAGAAGGGACACATCAGGGCGCTTAGGAGCAGACGGCCCGCGGGAGAAGGTGACAGCGGAAGAGGCGGGTGATGTCCTCCCGGTGAGGGGGCAGGGGGTCACCAGCTCCTCCTGGGGGCTGGAGGGGAGCAGGCTGCTGAGCCCTTGGTCTCTGGCCCTGCCCTGGGGGTGTGCTTCAGGGGGTGCAGTGGGGACCCACATATACTCGCCTGGGGCCTTCAGCAGACATGACACACGGAGGGACACTGGGCAGTTACTGACCTCTCCCTTCCCCATCCCTGCTGCTCACTCCCAGGGACCAGAGAGGCGCTGCAGGCCAAGCCTGGGTGCCAGCATCGGGGGAGGAGGGTGGGGAGCAGCAGGTCTTTGGCAGCGGAGCCCAAGGTGGAGGGCGGCTGGGCACGGCAGTGGGTGAGGGTAGGAGAGGCACAGAGAAAAGGGGCTGGGGCTAAGGGCAGCTGGGGGGCATGGTTTCTAGTCGCTGGCCACGTGGTTCTCATTCTGCAACTGGTGCCAGCGCTCGATTCTCTTGTCCTTGTTCTTCAGACACTCGTACCAGTGTTTCAAGCGCTCGCCCTTGGCCGAGATCCCCAGCTGGCAGCCCCCTGCGGAGGGAAACAGCAGAGGGGGAGTGGAGCTCAGGCTGCAGCCACCTGGGGTTCACAGTCTAGACCTCTGCGGGCGGGGGTGTGTGTGTGTGTGTGTGTGTGTGTGTGTGTGTGTGTGTGTGTGTGTGTGTGTGTGTGTGTGTAGGGGGGGGGTCTCTGCGGGCGGGGTGCTCACCGATGTAGTCGTTGGACTTGCCAATGTCGTAGTCCCAGACCGAGATGTCCAGAGATTTTTTTGCCAGGTCGCTGTGTTTGATATCATAGAAAAACTCCTGCATGCAAGCAGACATGTGATCACCAAGAGGTCCCGGGCAGGCTGAAGCTGGGTGTCTGGAGCCAAGGTGGTCCCCGGGAAGCCCCATCCAACACAGGGTCTGTGGAGCCGAGCCCCGTGGCTATTGTTGTGGTGGTGCCAGGGAATTCTTGGAAACCAGCCAGGGCGGCATTCTAGGACGGCCGGCCTGCTCTGAGGCAGCTGAGAGGACTCTGCCCTTGCTTCCAGGAGCTTCCGGAGGGGGCCTTGCAGTTTAGGGAAGGAAAGCAGGCAGAGCTGATTGAGCCCTCACTTTCCAGTATTTTAAAGAAGCAACTTTTCTGCCAAGTTACAACATTCATTTGTGTTTGATGTGGGAACAAATGGGAGCAAGGAAACCTCCTACAATCTACCCCAGGACAACCAGCGGCAACACGGGCCCATGTGTGCAACAGGTGCAGCAGACAACTGCAGCCCGAAGGGGCACTAAGCGTGGACATGTGCAGGGCAGTGCGTCTGTAGGGGATGACGCTCAGCTGAGTCCTGACAGAGGACTGAGAGTTCACCAGAGAGGAAAGAGAACTGGGGGTGGTCCCGGAACAGGAACTTAGGGACCTGAACGCAGCTTCGGGGTGCCCGAGGTGTGTATGTGTGTGTGTGTGGTATGTGTGACACGTGGACGTGATGCCGCTGAGGGCTGACCATCCCATGGAGAAGTTGGAGAGTCCCTGGGGAAGGGCTCCCGCAGGGGAGTGCCAAGGCAGATCCGTGTCGCACGGAGCATCCCTGTGCTCAGAGCAGGTGCAACTCCCAGAGACGCAGGTCTAGGAGTCTACTGCCATTTTTCAAGCTTGAGATCCCGGGGCCTGGATCAAGGCAGCAATGACAAAAACACACAGGAAGAAGTGCACCCACGGGAGACGGGATGGGACCTTGTACAGGACACGATGCACTGAAGGGACACGGGACGTGAGGGACAAGGCAGTGTGGCCGGGTGGATGGTGTGGGCGACAGGGCCATTGTTGTCTCTAGGAACCCCCAGCGTGCTAGACTCTGAGCTGGCCGAGGCACCGGGGACGATTTAACTCCAACACAGCTGTCTCTAGCCAGAGTCCTCCTCTGTGGGCTTTCATCTCAGACTTGATTCCCTCCAGTGACAGGAAACTCACTCCCTCTCCTATAGGGAATTCAGGCTGCTCTACAGCATAGCGTTTGGGGTGTGATTCCCAACATTCTAGTAGGAATTTGTTTCTTTCTGAGAACCAAGGCATGACCATAAAAAGGAGCCCGAGGTGGTGGGTGGGCAGTCTTACCTCGTTAAATTCAGGATTCAGAGTTTTCTTTTTAATCTGCGTCTTGTGTTTGGCCCTCTTTCCCATGTCTGGTTTTAGCCAGCTGGTGAGAGACACACGAGGCCATTAGGGACGGAGCTGGTGACCATGAGAAGCCCACCCCCGCCCCCTGGTCCCAGAAGCCCCAATGGTATCAGGGGAGTGAGTAACTGGCACAGATCGCAAGTTAAGCTGACATCGATAAAGACTTGTATGTGTCAGAGCGTGGGCTTGGTTAGGGCTCACGCTGCATGCGGCCCCCTGCGTGAGCTTGGTCCTCACAGCAGCCCTGGATGGCCACAGCCAGGCCCCCTCATTTCACTTATACAGAAACGAGGGCCCAGAGAGGCTGAGCCACATGCCCTGGGCACACAGCCTCACGGACCGCATTGAGGGCCATGCAGGTGGCGTCTGGCATACAAAGCTTTCTGGCCTCTTGGGCTGACCTCCCCCCTTGGGCAGCTCCTGGGGAGCTGCTGGACATGAGGACAGAAAGGAGAGGAGACGGAGTTGATGGCTGTCACTCCCCTGCTCCAGAATGTTTGGCTTCCCTGTGATCAGGTCAAGTTCGAAATCCTTAGTGTGGCCTCAAGACCCTGAGGCTGCTTGGGTCCCTGGTTTGTCTGGGCCTCAGTCCCCTCTGTCCCCCAGGGCCTTTGCACATGTGGCTGCTGCTGCTTGCCAGGGTGTTTCTCAGAGCAGACACAGGGCATGACGCACAGTGGGTGCTCAGTCAGTATTGGAGGATGGGGAGTGAGTCATTGGAACGAGGCTGGAATGTGAGGATTCTGATCTGGGCTTTTCCTGAGAGCCACCTGTCACATGGGCATAGCCTCGCCATGTTTCAGGTTCTGGAACTACTAGGGGGGCAAATATTTCTCTCTCCTTCACAAAGATGAAACTGAAATTTTTACTAAGTGTCAAGCAAAAATAAATGACCTAGAAAATCAGAATGACCTAAAAACAAATGTGGATCTGATTGGAAGCCGCTTAATGGCTGCTTGTCCTTCACAGCGGCAGCAGCCTGCAAGCCGTCCCACTCTCGGTTTTCTGGGAGGGCTGCATGGAGGGGCGAGGGGATGGGGGCCATGGTTTACCGCTTTGCACGGGGCTGAGCGTTGATGGGATGTGGCACAGTGCTCTGTGGGTCAGGTTCAAATCCATATTGCTCCTAGAAGCTGCCTCCTGCCTGGCGTGTGTGCTTTGTGAACTAAATCCTCACTTGGAGGAAACCTTAAGCCTGTGTTGGGCTGTCCATTAGCCACTGGCTTAAGCGACAAATGCTCTTTTCTGCCGTGGGAGGCAGAGAGGGAGGGAATACCGGGCAAGAGATGGCATGCTGGCTGCTTTGCACCATGAATTAGACCAGGGGTGGTGGTGGTTGGTCATAGCTATTGCAGTAGATGCTTAGCGAGCACTTATCATGTCCCATGCCCCAGGAATAGGGTATCTGTCCCAGCTCAGGCTGCAGGGGTGATGCTGACCGATGCTGCTCCATGTTGTCCAGGAGGCTGTTATCAGGGACCCTGGGTAGCCCCAATCCTGATCATGGGAGATACAGGGCTCCTATCTCCTACGAGGGAGGCTTTGTGCTCCTGGACCTCCTGGATTGAAATGTCTGTCCTGCAGCCCAAGACCCTCGTTGCTCACACTTCCTGTCTTCCCTTCCTCCTCCACGTGGCCCTGGCCTGCTGCAAGGTCCACATGGTCCCCTCTGAGCTTTCTCCTGGCCCTTTCTGGTGCTCCTTGCAGGCATTTCCCCCAGCTTGCCATCGCATCCCCTCTGAGGGCTGTCTCCACTCTCTATTTTATATCGGGGCCCAGAAGGGTTATGCTGCAAGCATAATCCCAAATCCAAAAACACTTCCAGGGTCAAGCATTTTAGGCAAGTCACCCCTGAGTCTCTTGGGATCAGGGAATGACTGTATGTGTCCATTGTGCCAGGGAAGGGAGCGAGGAGAGAATAAGCAAGGAGTAACACTGGCGACCAACTCCTTCCTCCTTGTATCCCCACATCCGAGTGTCTCCCTGTGGATGCCCATGATGAATCCCAAAATACCAGGATTCCCAGGGCCAGCATCAGCAGGCTGCAGACAGGACACAGCCATCGGATCGACCAAGCCTGTAGCCTCGGATGACCACCTCTGAACCCCAGCTCTGCTGTGTGACTTGGGGCAGGCTCCTTCCCCTTTCTGGTTGTCAGTGTCTCGGGGACACTGGCCGCGGCTCTCTCTGGGGCCCACATCACGGACACGAGGCATCGACTCACAGCTTGACGAATGGGTCTGAGTAGCCGTTGGCATCCATGGCCGCCAGGTGCACGCAGCGTATGATGCCCACGATGAGGCCACCCTGCTGAGTGCTGTACATGAGGGACACCAGGATCTTGCCTCGTTCCTCTATGTCCCCGATTCGCTCCACCTGCTACATGAGGATGAGGCGGGAAAGGAAGGCAGTGAGGGTCAGGGAGGCAGGGGCCGGGTCTTGTGGGTGGCGGGCATTAGGGAAAAACTCCTGGAGCTGGACCAGCTCCACTGTGAGTAGCACCATGGACAGCAGACAGCCCAGCCTCTGGGAAGCCAGGAGGGCCGGTCTGAGGCATGGGACAGGGCTTCCTCCTGTCTGACCTGATTGACCCAGGCCTGGACCTTGACCCTGGCCAGGGCTGCACCCTGGACCTGAAGCTTAGTCAGAGGCCCAGGCTGTTTGCTTGATCTCTGGCAGACACAGCTTAGCTCAGACAGCTGGCCTGTGTGTCCCCCGAGGGAGCTGCTCCAGTCACTAGGAACCCATGGGCGTCCTGGCTGCTGTGGGAGGGTGAGGACGCCCCCCACCTGGGAGGCCCAAGGGGACAGTGAGCCAACAGGTGGATGGTGTGGGAGGAAGAGCAAGGCAGGGGTTGGGGGCAGCAAAGAAGAGGGAGACGGCAGGGCAGCCGGGAGGCGGCACAGACCATGACAGTGACTTCCAGTCCCGCCCTGCACTCACCTCCTCCTCATACAGGGCCATGCCGCGAGCCGAGCCGGTGGTCCCCGCACGCTTCATCTTCAAGGAGGGAAAGAGAAGGCAAAGGAGAAATCACCTATGGGGTTCATCTATCTACCCCACGCAGCCCACCCAGCCCACCCAGCCCTCCTGCTCCCAGCATCGGGGCTGAGGTGGGACAGAAGGGGTGTTCCCCCTAAGCTCCCAGGACACCCTGTATGCCCCTTTTCTGCTAAGAAAGCTATTCTCAGCCCCCAGGCATGGTCTGCTTCACCTGTTCTGGCTGAATGGCACAAGCGCCCAGGAACCAACCCACCAGATGGGCCTCTCTGCATGGTGCCTGGGAATCTTTGGTTGGACTCAAGGCTCTGAGGTCTGAGAAGCATAGTATGAAACCAGCCTGCTGGCTGCGCTTTCACTTTGCTACAGAGAGCTTTGCCACTCAGACCAGCACTGGTCAGGCAGGGCTGGTGGAAGGCCGAGGGAGGCCACAGACCCCATACTCCAAGCCAGCATCCGTCCTCTCCCCTCCATAACTCCCATAGCCTTTTGGTCGCTCTCCCCCTGACACCCCACATCCCTGACCCCATCCCCGACCAAGCTCAGACCAAGGCAGGGCAGCGCCCGGGGCAGGCAGGGCAGCGCCGGGGACAGGCAGGGCAGTGCCCGGAGCAGACAAGGTCACTTACGGGGATGACTCGCTCCAAGCAGATATTGAAATTCTTCCTTTGGTTGGGTTTCAGCTTCTTGAGGGAGAATCTGGTCTCACCGATGAACTCATTGTGGCCAAATTTGTCCTCGTCACAGACTGAGATCCTGGCACAGACCCGGGGGCAGGGAGTGGAGGTGGGGAGAGAAAGAGGAAGTGACACTGAGCCAGTGTGGTGGAGGACGCTGGAAGGAACATTTTAGCGCCAAGGTTCTGGGTACGGCTAAGATCAGGGTCAGAATTAGGGTTAGAGGTGGACAGAAGCTTAGGGTTAGAGCTGAGGCTGGGGTGAGGCTTCAGTTTAGGATTAGAGCTACGTCTGTGGATTGTGGTTAGAAATTGGAATAAAGCTAGGGTTGGGGTTAGGGTTTAGAATACAGCTAGGTGTAGAGTTAGGTTTAAGGTTAGAGCCACACCTAGGGTTAGGGTTTGGCTAGGACATAATACTAGCCAGATTATGGCTAAGGCTAGGGTTAAGACAACTGTTTGGGTTATGGTTGGCATTAGGATTAAGGTCTGAATTAGGGTTTTAGACCTAGGGCTGAGATTAGGGACACACACACACACTAAGGTAAGGGTTGGCCTGCTGGTGTTGGTTTGGGTCACTGGTAGACTTAAGGATTAGGGTTAGGGCTGGGGTTAGGTTCAGGACATTCAAATGACTTCAGGGTTGTCACCTCTCTTTCTTTGCTGCAGTCACTCGCACACAGCAGGTGCACACACCCATAGCCTGATGGGCCTGTACTACAACCTCCCTCACAGTAAGATACCAGCACCCTCAGCGCCTGCTATGTAACCTTCCAGCTACTCCTGACTCGCGGACAACGGCCCCATCCAACCTCTGGCCCCAGCGAGTCTGGCGCCTTGCTGCTTCCGACCTTCTTGTGAGCAGAGCCACATGAAGGAGCACACACCCTATGGATAATGGCTGTGTTCCCCTAAGTTTCTTCTGGAAGCATGCACTGTTTGTGGAAAGCTAAGGCAGCAGCTCTTCGGAGGAGCGGGCCCTGGCAGCTGCGCCCCCGGGGTACCTGAGGGTCTTCCTTTGCATGTCCTCATCCGTGATGCCGTGGTAGACCAGCGTCTCATTCCAGACAGGGTTCCGCGTGTTGCGCAGGGTTTTGGTCCGCAATTTGTTGGACTGGAGCCCCGGGAAGAGGGACAGGCAGATGTTGGCCTCAGTGGGGAGCCCGTCCTGGAGCCCCAGCCATGAGCTGGGTTTTTATTTGGGGGTGGGAGGAGGCGAAGGCAAAGGGGCAGGAGCATCTGGAGTATGGCTGCCCCAGGGCATGCTTGGAGAAGGAAGGGGCACCTTTGGGTAAAGTGGTCAAGGCGGGCTCTGCGTCCCCCAACCTTGTACACACAGTCCCTGCCGTAAGCCCATCTGGGAGGTACAAATCTGAAACCCCTTCCTTTGAGGGGAAGAAAATCCCTAATTGAAGGAGGTCTGAGTCCCAGGAAGGAGCTGGGAGGGTGCCTTCTGATGCCCCAGGAGCACCCCCATTGCCTGAAACTCCCTGGAGGAGACGGAGTGTTCCTCGTGTCCTTGGAGTCCCTCCCAGCTCCTCCTTAACCACAGCATGGGCTCTGCCCCCACACCGGGGAGGGGAGCAGCCCTGGAGCAGGTTCTGTGCTCAGACCTTGGGTGCCTGCCAGGGCGCAGACCACGCAGTACCTTGCTGGCTCCCGGCAGGAGGTGCAGCTTCACGTAAGGATCGGCCAAGCCGTTGGAATCCATGGGCTTCAGTCCCTGCAGGAGAGGGCGGCAGGGTGAGGGCCCAGGGCTGGCAGGCAGTGGGCATAGCCCTAGTGTCGGCTATGCCCATCGGCCCACCCCGGGAGAAGAAGAGGCTGCAGCACTGTGCAGAGGGTCCTGGGAGGAGGCAGAGAGGGCCGGAGGGGCAGCCCTGACCGGCTGTGCCACCTCGGATGAGTTCTCAGCCTCTCTGAACCTGAAGCCCTGAGATCTGTCTCCCCATCCAGCCCCCCGCACAGTGCTGCATTTGCACTGAGGCAGATGTGGGGTGAAGGTGGGTCATTGCCCTGAGCCAGCCCCTGCCCCAAGTTCCTGGGGCTCACACACACTCTGTGCACACATCTCACCACGGGGCTCCCCCCAAGCCCTGTCCCCCGTCTTAGCACAGACACCATGGGGGGCCCTCAGAGGATTGAATCTGGTAAGCCAAGTGACCTCAGGCTTAGACTTTCCAGGCCTCGGTTTCTCTGTCTGTATCATACGGTGGATGCATCCCTGCCTCAAAGATGCCCAGGCAGACAAAGTGGCACTGGCCTCTGTGTGTCCCTGGAAGTGGGGCATCATGCACCTGCTGGGATGGCTGATCCGTGGCAGGTGCTCAGGCATGCTTGAGGAAGTTGGGGCTTGGTACAGGGGGCTAGGTGTGTGGCGTGAGGTGTTCCCTGCTCAACTGATCAGCCAGACCTGGCCATCTGAAGAGCAAATGAGCAAGGTCTCTCTCCTTAAGATTAATTTATTTGAAAGGCAAAGTAATGGAGAGGGAGAGACACAGAGAGAGAGATTAGCCAACTACTGGTTCACTCTCCAAATAGCCACAACAACTAGGACTGAGCTGAGCCAAGTCAAAGCCAGGAGAATAGAACCCCATCCAAGTGTGGGTCCAGACACTGAGCCATTCTCTGCTGCTTTCCCGAGCACATGAGCAGGGAGCTACATTGGAAGTGGAGCAGCCAGGAATTGAACTGGCACAGAGACGGGCCTTTAGCACACCGGGGACTCATTCCCCAGGCACTCACTATAGCTACCAACTGTCCTCTTCTTCCCACTGTCATGGTCACTGCCACAGACAGACAAGGTCCAGACAGGCCAGGCAGACAAGCTGGGCCTCCTTCAGAGATCCCGCTACCCCACCAGCCAGGCCCCCTGGCCCATACCCACCTTAGCTTTAATGATGGTGCATTGCAAGGAGCTGTTGTCCTGGTCATACAGTAAGCTGAACTCCAGGGCGCCCAGGGTGGCTGCAGGAACCAACAGAACCCTCATTCAGTCACTCAGCACTTCCTGAGCCATGAAACTGCGCAAGACGGGGGACTCCATGCCTGCCCTGGGCATCCATCCCAGCACACCTGGGTTCTTCAGCACACCTGGGCCCCTCAGCACACCTGGGCCCCTCAGCACACCTGGGGCCCTCAGCACACCTGGGTCTGCTCATCATTGGTGCACCTGCCTGCTGAATGGCTTCCTGTCCTGCTAGACTGGCAGTGCCATGAGGGCGAGGGCTGGCCTGTTGCATGGCCTGCTGCATTCCTGCTGTGTGCAGTGCAAGGCACGCAGTAGGTGCTCACTGACAAGGGGTTTTGAGGAGCTCACGGAGAGCTTACATGACCTTGCCATGGCACTTGCTGTGAGTTTCACAAAGCTGACTTATTTTGCAGAAGGGATACATGAGGCTTAAGCTTTGCTGCCCACTCTGCCAGCAAAACTCTCCCCCTGGGTCCTCCTGTGGCTGGCACCTTCTCGTGCTGCTTCTCCAGCCAAATGTCTCCTCCTCAAGGAAGCCCTCCCTGATCTCTCCATCTAAAGCAGCTCCCCCACCTACCCATCCTCATCCATCATATTTTATTTCCTCCATGGTTCTCTATTTATTTGAAATGAACTTGCTGGTGTGTTGTCTCTGCTGCAATGTTAGCTCAGCTGGGCATTTTTTTTTTAAATCCTGGTGTTCCTGATGGTGGGAGGAGAAAGCAGCATGGGATAGGCTCATTAACAAACTGCCTGGCTAAGCCATGAACAGCATGAGGGTAAGAGGGTACACTCCGTCCACTGGGGTGCGTGGGAGGAGTAGTGGCTGCAGGCCCAGGGTGAGGACCAGGATGAGAAGAGATGGGGAGGTACCTGCAGCGCAGAAATGAACCACAGTGGGCGGAGATGAAAGGGGTAGATGTGCCCTCTCTCCTCCAAGGCTGCAGGACTGCTGCTCCAAGGGCGAGCCCAGGGGGCAGAATGGGCAGTTGACACCTCACCTCTGACCCTATGCCACAGGCCACATGAGCTTGGGCAACTCCCAAGAGCTCTCACAGCCCATGTCCCAGTCTGCAAAGTGGGAGCCGCCAGAGCGTCTCTTCCCAGGTGCCCGTGGAAGACCCTGTGAGCTGCAGTGTTGTACTGTCCATCTCCCAGCACGGTCCGAGGGCTCAGCAGACCCTGTCCCTGGGAGCCGAGGCTGCAGGGGTGCAGAATGCTGGCTGACACAGGCATTCTGAGTTTTGGAAACCTGTGCCCAGGAGGGTCTCAGTTTGCCCTCTGCTGGCACCAGAGCTCCTAAGCTGCTTTCCAGTGGAAAGGGAAGACGTGACGATTGCAGTCATGGTCATGGCTGACAGTCTGTTTCTTCTGGGGGTAGGGGCGTGTTCAGACTGCTTCTGCCCCGATGCACCTGCCAGCCCCACCTTCCTCCAGTTCCCTGTGTGGTCACCAGCCACAGCGGGGGAAGAAATATCTGGTGTGTGTGTGTGTGTGTGTGTGTGTGTGTGTGTACAGGAGAGGGACCCAGTATAGGACTCAAAGACACATGCAATCACGTAGTAAAAGGCCAACTTTGGGAGGTGTGTGATAAAGAGTTGCAGGTCTAGGAAAGCATGTGCACCCAGAAGGTGACCTGGGAGTCCACTGCTATCTTCTGACAGCACAGGGAGGATAGCGCACAAGGCCACCGAGCAGCACACTCCACGGCCACTGAGGCAGCCACGCTGAGGTTAGCAGCATGTTCCCAAAGCACTTCTGCTCTATGAATCTCACAATTGCATTTTAAGAAGGGGTAATCGGGTAATTGGGCTTACAAAGTGCAGCAAAGCAGGAGGTCTAAGAGGGCAGCACTGCCCCGGGGTGGTCCTCAAAGTGACTTTTCCCAGCCTGTCACCTACTTGCTTCATCCGAATCATAGCTGTTGGTTTCCTCGTCCTCTTCCTCCGGGGGCGGCTGTTGGCGGGCAGGGGTCCCAGCAGGCTGTGGGACTGCGGCAGAGACCTGGGAATGGGGGCCCGGTGGATGGGCTGCTCGCTCGTCCCTGGCTCCAGCTGCCGAGAGGCCCCCAACTCCTCCTGTCCTCTCCTCCCTGGGTGGGGCGGCGGTCCCTGCAGAGCCAAGGTCACCAGGCGTCACCTCTACAGGGAGACAAGGCGACAGGAAGGAGGTGGCTGAATCCTGCATCCTCAGCCACAATCAGAGAAGCTTCAAAATGCAGGTTTCCAGGCTCTTCCCAGGGCCCAAAGGTCACGCCATGGAGCTGAGGCAGACACGGGCAAAGTCAACCTCTCAGGGGTGTGGTTCCAGCCAGTCTGGGCTCAGACCTCAGCTATGTGGCCTGGAGCAAGTTCCCTAGTGTCTCTGAGACTTGGTTTTTCTCAGTCAAAGAATGGGAATGATCTGAACGCTCTCACAGTGGACAGTATCATCTTTAAAAAGTGACCTGAGATGCCCAGCATGGTAACTTAGTGGTTAAAGTCCTTGCCTTGCATGCTCCAGGGTCCCATATAGGCACCAGTTCTAATCCTAGTGGCCACACTTCCCATCCAGCGCCTTGCTTGTGGCCTGGGAAAGCAGTCAAGGATGGCCCAAAGCCTTGGGACCCTGCACCTGTGTGGGAGATCTGGAGGAAGTTCCTGGCTCCTCCTGGCTTTGGATCAGCGCCGGTCATTGCGGTCACTTGGGGAGTGAATTATTGGGCTTAAAATCTTCCTCTCTGTCTCTCCTCTTCTCTGTATGTATGACTTTGCAATAAAAATAAATAAATCTGAAAAAACTGACCTGAACAGAGCCTGGCTGGGGCCAGTTTTGTGGCCCATCCACTTGCCATGCCAACACTCTGTTTCAAGGCACAGGTTTTTGTCCCGACTGCTCTGCTTTTTTTATCCAACCCCCTGCTACTGCACCTAGAAAGGCAGCAGAGAATGACTCAAGTGCTTGGGCCTTGCACCTGTGTAGGAAGACCAAGATGGAGCCCCTGGCTCCTGGCCCCAGCCTGGTCCAGTGCTGGCTGTTACAGTCATTTGAGGAGTGGGTCAGTGGATGGAAGATCTCTTTCCTTCTGACCCTTCATTTCATTGTCAATCTGCCTTTCAAAGAAACACACCCAGTACCTGGTGCATTAGAAAGCCACATACCTGTCATTGCTATGATTAGTGGAAACTATACATGTGGTCCCACTGAACATAGATTTAACACATTGCACATGCTATGAGGCAGGTCCTGGTATCATTCCCATTTTATGGATAAGGAAATAGGGGCTCAGGGAAGCTCAGTGACTTGCCTGGGGTCACACCACCAGAAAATCAAAGAGCAGGACTTGAACCCAGGCACCTGTACTCTTCAACTCACATCCATTTGGCATTTTCTCTGTGTGCCATCTAGGTGTGGGGACTACCTGGAGTTCTGGACTCAGGAGTAGGGAGTGACATCCAGGCTTCACTTGGTGAATATCAGGGCACAGGCTGAGCTGAACGAATCCTGGCAGCTCCCAGGGCGGTGGGAGACGGGGGCCAGCAGGCAGGCCAGGTGGGTGTGCTGGGTAAGACACTCCCCACCTCCTCGGGCTCCTGCTCTGCCCCGTCCAGGGACTTCCCCATTCTCTGGGTCTTTGAGGAGCTTAGCGCGAAGGCCCAGCTCTGCCCTAACACCCAGGGCTCTGCACACAGGGCTGGGAGGTTTGGGGGTGACAGCTGAGTGGCAGTGTGGCAGGTGGGGACTGGGTGGGAAGAGGCACCTGTCTGCCCTGGCTGAAGTGGTGCTGGGCTCTGCACAGAGGCTGGGGCAGGTCTGGAGGCTTGGACTGAGTTGGCGCGTCTTAAACCTGCAGGGGAAAGACGGGAACGGAAATGGTTATGACATGACCGTTCCACGCACGCACACAAACATAGCAGGAGGAAGCGTGGAAGTGGCTTGGGGGAGAGGGCTTCACTTGGAGGCAGCACTGCCCTCCATCCCCCCAGCTCTGTCCTGTCTTTCTAGGATGCCGCTTCTGGTCCATGCCAACAGTGCATAGCAGAAAATGACATTGCATTGTGTATCAAAGAAGCTCCCAGAAAGGATTTGGAATGTTCTCATCACAAAGAAACCCATGTTTGGAGAGACAGCAAGGCTGACCCTAGTTTGCACAATGTATAATTATATGGGTACAGAAATATCACATGGTACTCCACAAATAGCTACCATTAGGATACGCTAATTGGAACCACTGAATACATATTCATATGTAAATTTAAAAACAAAATGCCCTGCCTCCCATGCTCTTTCTCAGTTCTTTTTCCAGCACACAGATTGGGATATTCCCATCTTTCTTACCTGCTGGGCTGCAACTGGCATCTCCCGCAGTCCCGGGGCCCTCCGTGTCTCGGCCGGACGAGCTCATTCGTGCCTCGGAGGCCCTGCGCACTGGAGGCCCATAGCTTCCTCTCCCAGGAGCAGAGGCCGCATCTGGGCCTGGAAGGAGACGAGTAAACTTAGTGGAGAAAGGGCCATGGAGGGTGGGGATGGACAGATCCCTGCTCTGGGGTGTATGACAGAGCCAGCGGATCCCACGGGGCTTCAGACCTGGGCCGCTCCTTTCTTCAGCATCACCTGGGAGGACCACTGAATGACAGGATGCCCTGGCTTCCCAGCATTTGCAGAGCCATTCCTTAGGGAATGTCCCTAAATGGACTCATCCATCATGACCAAGAACCACTTGCAAAACCGAGGTCTCTCCACTTCTGTTTTGATCTGACTCCTGTTTACAAACCCTTATTACTTCCTTAGCACACCCACACACACAGAGAAGATTAGAGGAAGTGCAGCTGGCAGTATGTTCATCCTGGTCTACAGCGAGAAGGCTTGGCCGGGAAAAGGGACTGTCTGCTAGAATCCAGGAACTTGCCGGGGAATGCACTGTTGCTTGCTGGCACTTTGGTGATTTTCTGCAAGAGCAGAGACTATTCAGGCCCAGGCAGGAGGACAGCTTGGCAGAATGCCTTTCGGGTGCCAGGCCCACGGTGGGTATCTTGGGAAGTCAGCTGACGGGAGACAGACTTGGACACTTCAATTTGGAGACCTTTCACTATGCAGAAGTACTGTCTATATTTCACCCTGCAATCTTCATTTAGAATAGAAAGCTGTCAGCATTCATCGAAATTATTGTAAGGGTTTTACTGGATCTTAGTGGTCTGTTTCAATTGCAGTATGTTTCATTGTGCTTGTTTTTTTTTTTTTTAACAGCTTTACTATTCCTTTTTATTCATCATCTTAATAATTCATAATAATAGCAGGATCGCAGAGATGCTATCAATAGTAATTGTATTTTTCTTTTACTAATTTCCTTTCTATTTATCTTTACTTTTAATTTGTCCAGCACAACCCAGGGCTAGAAAGGAGCTCCCAAGAAGCCCCAATTCCCCCAGGTTCTGCTGTATAATTTGGTGGTGGCAGTCTCTATTACTTTTTTAAAAATATATTATTTATTTATTTGAAAGTCAGAGTTAGAGTGAAGGGTATTTTCCATTCACCTGTTCACTCTCCAAGTGGCAACAATGGTCCAGGCTGGGCCAGGCCAAAGCCTGGAAGCCAGGATTTTATTTCTCACATGTGTGGTACTGACCCGAACACTTGAGCCATCCTCCATTGCTTTCCCCTGGTCATTAACAGAAAAGTACATCAGAAGTGATCAGCCGGAGTATGATTCGGTACCCATGTGGGATGCTGGCGTTAGAGGTAGTGCTGTATCACTGTATCAGTGCTGTTTTGTATTGTTAGTTTTTATTTCTATCACTGTTATAGCCCTAGCTATTCCACCAGGAATGACCAAAGCCTTCTGACAGCTTTTGTCACACCTTTCATGAGAATTTACGGTAAGCTTGAAGAGCACATAAGACTCCAATCCTAGGTCCACCAACCTAGTTATTGAGGGCCAGTGCTGTGACATAGCAAGTTAAGTCTTTGCCTGTAGTTCTGGCATCCCATACAGGCATCAGTTTGAATTCTGGTTGCTCCTTTTCCAATCCAGCTTCCTGATAATGTACCTAGAAAAGCAGTGGGAAATGGCCCAAGTCCTTGGGCCCCTATATCCACATGGGAGATCTGGAAGAAGTTTTTGGCTTCTGGCTTCAAACTGGCCCAGCTCTGGCTGTTGTGGTCATTTAGGGAGTGAACCAGTGGATAGAGGATCTATGACATTCAAAGAAATATAAATAAATCCTTTTTTGTCCCTTCATTTTTAAAAAGACAGTTGTGAGTTTTAGGCATCCAGTAGGGAGACCGATTGCCTGGGCGCCGTCCTTGGTGCTGAAAAAGACTTTGCATTGTCCTACCTCTAGCTGCAACACGTGCAGAGGGCCTGGGTTCGGGGGCGTGCTGTTCAGAGCCAGCAGATTCAGGATCAGGCTGCTGAGGTTTGGTCTTCTTTATAGGCATAGGCTGTGGGAGGACCTGCTTGGGGAAGCCTTTGAAGAACCATGCTCCAGAACGCTTCCAGACCTGAGGAAAGAGGAAGTAAGGATGCTGAGAGAGGAAGACACAGAAGGTGAGGCATGAGGACGAAGGGAGACTGGAAGCTAGACAGTAATGCATGGAGGAGGAGGAGGAGGATGAAGGTGGTCACAGACTCTGGGAGGACTTTCCTTCCCTCCATACCAGGTCATCCTGCTAGCAGTCACAACTGGGCTGCTTCCTTTTAGACTTTTTCCTCACCCAACACCCACCCAAAACCCCTGGTCTCCAAGCACCACCCACTTCCCAGATTCCAAGCAGAAGGAGCCAGCAAAGAAGAGTGGATGACTTGGGAGCCAGGTGGGCTCTGGCTACTTACCTCTCTCTGCTCAATGCAGATTTTGCAGAGCCACACAGGATGCGGACGGTTGTTGGAGGTTTCCACTCCACATTTAGTGCAGACGTTCTGGGGGCAAAACACAACCCAGCATTCACTCAGGTGGGCCATGCTCCGGGCTTCCAGGGGTGGGGAAAGGGACTCGGAGGTGGGGACACTAGCCAAGCAGTCCCTTCTGTCTGGGCAGATGTTCTGACTTCTTCTTCCATAGGCAAGGACAAGGAGGATAAAATGCTAATTTGAGTCATATTTCCAGTAACAAGAATTGGAATCATTCCCAAGAATGGAATGAAGGGTCCAAGTTTTCCAGAATTTACACAAAGAGGTTCTTAAGAGGAAAGGCCATATATCCATTTTGTTGGTTCATTTATTTCTTTCTCCAAGTTCTCTGAACCAACTTTCGACTGTGACTAAAAATCCAAGTCCCCAAGGATAAGGAACTTATCTGTGTAATACCATGACTATGTGGTGGAACATTGTATTTTTGGCTGCATTTCCTGGCAGTCAAGGCAAATTAAATCTAATTCTCACTCTGGGGTTGACTTCAGCATGCAGGTTATTCAGGAAAGGTAAATGTTCCCCAGAATCCTACTCTAAATGCTAAGTGGGATGACAGGCAGGAGCTGCAAAGTGATATTAGGAATGTATCCAGCTGGCTCCATCACTTGAATGGACCCTGTTTCTTGGAAACAGACATGGTGATAGTTGCAATTCTGCCCTGGAGTTGTCAATTGCCGATGGTTTAAGAGGAGAGCTGAGGGTAAAGAGAGAATATGGAGATTCCCCTTCAAGAGCTGGTGCGCTCAAATTCAGCTGGTTCTAACTTGGCTTGAGGGAGGCTTTATAGGGGTTTTGAATCATAACCCAAGGCAAGAAAACGCTATAAGGATTCTGCATACACACACACACACACACACACACACACACACACACACATATTCTCATTCCAGGCTATTCTCAGGATCAACTATGGATTAGGTCCCACCCTGGGTTTCATCCTGGGGTGGAGCTCAGGTCTAGGAGAACAGAGTGTATCAAGAAGCTAGGGTCAGCATTGCTTGGGAAGCCAGTTGGATATGGGTGCATCCTAACAACCACCCTTTGGAATCCAGCTCCACCCCCACACACATACCCATGGCCCCCAAATTGTAGCTCAGGCCTTCGGCAGGTGCTGAGCTAGGAAGTGAGGCAGGGGGTGAGGATACCTTCTTACAGTCCTCACAGACGACACAAGCAGAGCCCAGCAGCCCCAGCTGTTCTCCACATAGAATGCAGCGGTTCACCCCATCTCCAGCCATGTTCTTCTTCATGTTCTCCAGGCGGTCCACCAAGCGCCTGAAAGCAGAGGTAGGGCATTAGAAACTGTCTTGGACTGGGTACCATCAGCAGCTAGGTAGATGGTCTTCACCATCTTGGAGTCACTAACCCTCAATCATATGATCACAGCCACAGACCTTCCCCAAAGGCATGTGGCCATGGACTTCAGGTACAGCTTGGGAATGTGAAAGAAAGACCCACTTTCACATCTGTCCAAGTCCACCTGTTCTGCCTTCAGATGACGAACTGCATCTGGTCCTTTTCATCTCATGTCATGTCCCCCAGGGAATCTGCCTTCTTGGCTCCAAGCCTGTCGATCTTATTGTCTGCATGTTGCTGTATTGGTGCCAACTCTGATGTTCAAATGGCTTCTTTGTCTTTGGTGATCTCTCATCCCGTTTCCCAGCAGGGTTGTTCCCATTGTCAGGAGCTGGCATGACCACTCATTCATTCACTCACCCACTCACTCACAAACATGGCTGACTTTCTAGACCCCTCTCCCTCTGGCATTCAGTGATCCAAGCAAATCATGGTAGCCTGCTACACCTACCTCCCTCACATTTCTGGAATCTTATCACTTCTCTCCAATCCATCACCATCTCTTTCCTGGGCAGCTATAGCAACCTTTTAAAAGGCTCCCCGTGTTCATCTAGATCCTTCTACAATCTGTTCTTCTCACCACAGCCATGGAGATATTTCAAGCACACAAATGGGATCATTTCATCTCCATCCCACTTAAAAACCTTTGTTTGGCATGATGGGTGCTGTGGCCCAGTAGGTTAAGTCACTGCTTGTAACATTGATACCTGATATTAGAGTGCCAGTTGGTTGCATCTGATCTGATCTGCTTCTGATCCAGCTTCTTGCTCATGTGCCCGAGAAAGCAGCAAAAGATGGTCCAAGTATTTAAGCCCTTGCCACCACGTGGGAGATGCAGATGGAGTTCCAGGCTCCTGGCTTCAGCCTTGGCCAGTACTAATCATTGCTACCACTTAGGGGTGAACCAATGGATGGAAGACTTATTTCTCTATCTTTCACATAAGTCATTCAATCTCAAAATGGCAATGTGTTGGGTTGGATGCTGTTCCACATAGCTCCTGTGGCCCTGCCTGTTTTGGCCCTGGTTGAACCTTGAGTCCCTTTCCCTCTTGGTCTTGCCTTTAGGGTTCTAGGGCTGTGGTTCTCTGGTATATCGCTGCCAGACCGGCAGCAGCGGTGCTCGCTGGGCACTTGATAGAAATGCAAGCTCTGGGGCCTCCCCTCAGCCAAATCCAGTAGTGGAGCCCATCAGTGTGTGTTCTACAATATTTTCTTGGTGGTTCAGATGCATGCTTGAACTTGAGAATCATTGTCCTGGTAGTTCGTTTTAGATCCTGTGTCTGCCTCTGTTTCTTGTACCATGAACGCAATCATAAGCATGTACACACTTGCTATCTCTTTATACTATATAAATGATGTTGCTATCTCTTTATACTATATGTGCACACACACACACACACACACACACACACACACACATTCATACTTTCCCTGCCCAAATCTTCATCCTTTAGAGTACAGCTATGTCCCCTTTCTCTGACCGCCCACCCTATTTTCTCTAACAGGAACTTGCTTCTCCATATGCCCTTGTCAACAACTGTGAGATTCTCTGCATGAGGTAAGGAGCTGATTGGGAAAAAATCTCTGGCTCCACTCCCCCCTTCAACTCTGATTCCCCTGGGCCAGGGACCTTGTCTTTCCTCTCCACATACCTCTTCCCCCACCCCATGTGCTCAGTGCCCAGTCAGGACAATCACACATAATGCCTGAAGCAGTGACTGAATGAATTATGGCCACTTACTTTCCCATCCCCAGGTCCAACCCAACCAAGCATGGTCCGGAGTTCTCCAGCCTGAGGAGGCAGACACAACTGTGCCATTTGGCAATAAGGAATGAGAGGCATGAAACTGCCCAAGGCCACAAGGCTGGAAAGTGCCAGGCTCAAAACCAGAACCCAAGTTTCCTGTGCACGATACCAGGGCTTCTGGAACTTCATGTCAATTACAGAGAGATCATGTGAGAATGCAGAGTCTGGGGAGAGGGCACTTCTAAGTTTGCACATGTCTAGAAAGCTTCTAGGGGCTGCTGCAGGAGGTGGAGGGTCCCTGGCTACAGCCTGGCTCACCAGCCATGTGACCACAACACCTGCAGGCATCCTGTTTTCATCTCAGGTGGATTGGTTGGCTTGTTAATTTTGGTCACTTGTACCGGCTTGCCCTTCCATCAGATGAGAACCTGGATTTCTATTTCTAACACTACAGCGAAAGTGGAAGGACTTTTCACTTTTTCCAGACTGCTTACTCCACCATGGCAGGGGCTCTACTGTGGACACGAGGCTGAGGGCAGGGTGGGGCAGAGAGCCTAGGGGAGGGCATTTGGGCATCACAGCCTTCAGAGGGTCTGAGGCATGTCTTCCCAGCAGGCATCTGACACCAACTCTCCCCTTCGCTCCTGCCCAGTGCTCCGGATTGCAGTGCTATAAATAGCAGCTCTTCCCTCCGTGTGCCATTCAAGAGAAGAGCTGCTGTGCCCAGTGAAGAACCAAAACCAGCCTGCAGGCTCCGGAAGCTCCGCTATGACCTAGATTAGGCAGAATGGCTCCAGGAAGTTGGGGGCGCTGCACTGCAGGCCGTATGCCTTTCCCTGGCTGCCTCTACCCTGTCTTTGTCTCCCTTCCCTGGAAATGATTCCTGTATGATGATGGCAGCGGGCAGTCGCCAGCAGCCAGCCTGCAGTCCGTGGTCTCAGAGCTCCTAGAATCCCATGAGCAGGTGCTGAGCACTCCCCGTGTGTCCAACCACATCAGAAGCGAAGAACTCCAGATGGTCCGCAGCTTCGTGATGCTTTGAGTGACAAGGTGTCAGCTTCATGATGATGTGAAAGCAATCCACCTTTGGTACACGCTGCACTGTGAACTGTGCATTTGGGTATTTTCCCAGGGTGATGATATGTGGTCCCACCTTCTGTGTGATGCTGGGTACCATCAGCAGCGACTGCAGCTCCCAGCCAGGCCCTGACATCAAGAGGAACAGCCATACTCTGCCGTGTGCTGTGTTGGTAAGCATGGTGTTCACTAGGTCAGGGGAATTCTATGCTTTTTTTTTTATTTAGAGTGGGCTGAATGGGAGGCAGCCAGAGGAGCAACTGTAGTCTTTTTTCCAGGTACTGAATGAGGACAAAGGAGTATCAGAGGGGTTACGTGATTCGCCCAAGTGACACAGTTAAGAAGAACAAGCTGGGATGGCATCTGTGTGATCTGACTCCCAGCCCCACACTAAGAGCCAGCACCAGACCGTGCATGCATGGCCACTCAGCTGGTTCTGCCCCTGGCCCCCTCTCTCTCCCACCTGTACTGAGTTAAAATCCTCCCCAGCTGTTCTGTGATATTGCTTCCATAAAGACCTTCCAATGTGGGCTTAGAAAATCCAGATGTTGCTTAACCATGGTTCCTGCCTCCCTGGGCCTCAATTTCCTCATCAGGAGGTGCTGGGCAATATTTGTGTTGACCAAACAGTGCTCCATGGAACCCCAGGGGTAGAACTGAGTCAGCTAGAGTCCGCCCACCCTCCGTGGGCAGGCTTTCCAACCAGAACACAGCTGGACAATGCGACTGTCTGTTCAGGCTGCAGAATCCATTTTCCCTTGGAAGGCTGAGTTCCAGGATTTAAAGAAGCTTGAAGTTGACCAGAGCAAAGTTGACCAGAGCAAAGATGCCGTTCAAGGCCACAGAATAACATACAAGTTGGGCTCATGGGTGCAAGGGGTGAGAAATGCTCACGAGACCTTTCTTTTGTGCCCAGGCTCGCGTGTACCTCTTTTTTTTCCCCTTCTACTGTGTTAACCAGAGAATCAGTAGTCTTGCTCCCCTTGGTTCATACCAGGTGTGTTAAAACACAGATGGTGAGAACCTAATGTGGATCATGCCATCAGGACAAGACACCCACAGCCAACAGTCCTGCCTGAATTCTTAACCCAGAGAGCCTGATGCTGCTCTAAGTTGCTAAGTTTTGGGTCTCTTGTTGGAGAGCAACAAAGAACAACCGAGTTTTCTTTCTGATAAGCTGGTTGATGAATGTAGCCATTGGGAATGCAGGATAGAGGAGAAAGAAGAGGCAAACTAAAGCTGTTTAATGAGTCTTCTGACTGTCATCTCTCCCTTCTGGGAGGTTGGAGACAGAAGGGCTGGGCTACACATGGGGAACAGAAGTTTGATTCCTCCTGGGCAGAATCAGCCCTGGCTGGCTGCCCAGCCTGGGGCTCCCTGGAGCTTCCAGCCCAAGCACAGCTGGCCCCAGGAGGCAGTGCCTTCTGGCAGGCCCCCGGAGGGCTCTTCTTCCTGGGCAATGTCAGGACACAGCAGCCTGCAAGCCAGCTGCAGCACCTGTGGAGTTCTCACAGACAGGTTCATGCAAGCATAAGGAAATCGCGGGCTGGCACACAAGGTGCTCCAGCCCCCAGCTCCCAAAGTGTGCCCCCTACCCCACCCAAACCTAAGTCTCTAGATGAAAACATCTAGGTGCTACAGGAGTCAGCAATCTGGGGAAAGGCACTTGGGAAAGATAGCCCCCAGGGTTACCAACATCATTCCACAATTTAGCCAGACCAGGAAGGTACACCTTGCCCCTGGGACCTGGGACAGGTGACCGAAGCCTTGGATGCTTCCCTGTTAAACAGGAATGATGATGGTTACTTGGTAGACTGAGAGCAGCAGCTCATGAGTTAATTTGGATGAGGTTTGCCGCGAGTTCAGGAAGTGCTTGCGTCTAAGATGGCAAACCTTCCTCACATTTATGAGCCATGACTTCTCACCCCTCCCTGATTGCTGTCACTCAGCTAGGGAGCAAGGCGGCTCAGTCTCACGGAGCTCGAGGCTGGACTCTACAAGGGATGCAAACGCAAGCATCTTTCATATAGCATTGGAAGGAACTCACTTGCCTGGGAAGGCACAACCAACAAGAAGGAACTTGCAGGGGGTCACCCATCACAGACCCCCAAGTGCTGCCGAGGTCCAACAGAATGGACCCTGCAAATCACACGGATTCATCTGATGGCTGGGAACATGAGACCCCAAAGGACCATCCCCTCCCTGAGAGCTTCAGATTCTGCAACAGGACCCACCCCTTACAGACTCCAGTTTCAGTCCTGCTCCAGGTCTGATGTTCCCCTCGGCTTTCATCCATCTGTGCTCTGATCCTTTCCCTGGGAAGTGTGGGAGGAACAGGCATTCCAGCAGGTTCCAGCAAATTTGATACAAATAGCATAAGGTTTGCCTCTGGCAATGCTGCCAGCGAGGGCGGCTACCTGGGTGCGTGCTGGGGAACAACAGCAGCTGGAAGCTTCCAGGACTGTCCTCTAGGGTTCTGGGAAACCAGGCAGAAACCTTGGCATCACATCGGATCTGGGCCATGCTTCTCAAATTCTGCTCAGGGAAAGCCAGGAGCCACTGGAAGTCCAGGGTTTGCCAAGCAAGGCATCTTGGAGCACAGTTCTAGGGCAGGTTTTATGCTTCCTTGCTGTCTGGAAAACTTTACTGTTCAACAACCACCTTCATAGTGAGCATGGCCAGGCACCAGGGCATCCTTGGTGTGCTGGTTCAGCACTTTCTGAGAAGCCAGGGCTAATGCTACCCCCATTTTATAGATCAAGAAGTTGAGGTACAGCAGGATAGAGGAGTTGAGGTCACACAGGCAAGTCAGAGCTGGGATGGGCCCCTTTGATGTGGGGGCCCAGCTTTGAGCCTTTAGACCTTCCCCTGATCCAGCAAGTTTGTAGGGGGAGGGCAAGGCAAAGACAATCACCCCCTCCCCACCCCGCAGCTGGCCTATTATAGAACATTCAAGCTGAGACCTACTCGGTCCACCGGGGTACCTTTGCCTTTGTTCCCAGACAGCCCAGGGTCTAGACCTCTGACTGCAGCTGATTGGAGGAGCCAGAGAATCAGAGCACTTCCCTTGGGCGTCTAGACCCCAGGAGATTCTTAACTCCCCAGCCTCCCTGGCAGGAGGCAATATGGATAAAAATTAGGGGCAGCCTATAGGCCAGCGTTTGCTTGCTGCTTCATCCAAAATGACACAGTCTCCCTGGTATGTCCCAGGCCCCTCCAGCATGAGCAAAATACACACACACTCACACACACACGCATCTATGCAAGCACAAACACATCCCTCCAGCCTGCAGAATCACCCACTTCTGAGATATGTTGTTAAAAAGCACATCAGAAACCCAAATCTACAGGCAAGTCCCTCACATTCAACCCTTTGGTGACCTGCCAAGGAAGCCAAGGAAGGGTCCGGCATGAACCCACCATGGCAGGAAGCTGACATTTGTCACTGCTTCTCTAACCCTAACCAGACTGGCCCCAAGTGAAGTCATCTCAGAGGTATTGCAACCAAGGCACCTACTTCTGGCACCCCTTGGGCCCCATTTCCCTTCCCAGGGTTCATCAGTCCATGCTGAGGGGACACAGAGCAAGGTCAGGATGGTCGCTGTCCAGTTGCTGGGCCGCTGGTAGTGGCTGTCCTTGGCACATGGGCCGGGGAGGCTTTGGGGACAAGGTAGGCACTTGCTGCCTCACCCCCATTTCTCACTGGTGATCCAGTTCTGGGGGCCACATGCCTGGTCTCTTTGCACCCGTGCCGAGCTCTCGCTCCCTCCCCCACTTGCCCTTTCCTGTCTGTGCCTCCCTGACATGCACACCCTGCCTTTCTCACTCCCTTTCCTGTGTGTGCACCTGTTCACACATGATCTCGCTGTCTGATGCACACAGCCCACAACTTCCTTACCAGCCCTGCTCCTCTCCTTCCAGCATCTTCCTTCCACCTACCTAGCCTCGGAATCTTTCTCTTTCCTTCCCTCCTCCTGTTTAACCCACCGGGCTACAACCAGAGCCTGGGGCTTTGCCAGGTCCCAGAGGGCAGTCACTGCTTCCTCTAGTCTCCCAGGGGGGACAAGGGAGCTCAGGGAGGCAGACAGGTGAGGACCCCTGGGGTTTCTCCAATTCTCTTTGCCTCTCCCACACTCACTCTGTGTCCTCCAACTCAGCCTTGGCAGGCCAGGGCATAGCTCCATGCAGCTGTGGTTGGCTGGAACTCTGCGCTCTCACCCACCCCACCCCCTGCAGCCTCTACTGCCCTCCCACGAGACCTTCTCCTCCCCCATCTTCATGGCACTGTCCACTCACAGTCCCTACTCCAAGTAACAAGGGTCTACTTGGAGAGAAGGTGGGGGAGTCACACCCCCTACTCCTCACACCCCCTTACTCCCCCTGCCCCAGTGGCTCCCAAGTTCGGGGCTGGGGACCCTCGGAGCTCACCCAATCCGTTCCTGCTCCATCTCCTCCATCTTCTCCGCTCGTGCGATCACCCGGTTGATGATTTCCTTCTCCTCATCCGTCAGCTCTTCCTGCTTCCTCTGCCTGTCGTGCTGGCCCCCCGGGTGCATGGACCAGCCCGCCTGGAGCCTGCAAGGCAATGGGGAAAAGTATGAGTCTGGACAGGAGCCCTGTAGACAGCGTGGGGAAGCGGTGAGGCTGTGGCCCCAAGAGTTTAGGAAGGCCCAGCTGTCTGGCTAAGAAATTCCTTGGCCTAAGTCATGGCTCTCAGAGCCAAAGTCTGCTCAGCGACACACTGGGACACACACATACACACACTTCCCTCTCGGGGTTCTGGTGAGCTTGTGTTTATTGCATGCTTACTACGTGGTAGGCAGTCTATAAGGAACATTTGCAGGAAGCTTGTGGCAACCTGGAGAGTGGAGGTCTAGAGAAGATTCTAGAGCAATAGTCTTCTACAATGGGGAGAGGAATGATTCAGGATAGATGGTTGGAAGGTCTGGGTCCTGAGTCAACCCCAGCGCCTGCCTGACACAGAAATTTTTAAAGGCAATTTGAACCAGTTGCCACCAACTGTTATAAAATCTCTGGGTTTTATGCAAATGTCTGAAATCCTAGCTCTGGAGGATCCTAGAGCTTTTGTCTCTTTAAAAAGCCAACACTGACATCATCAGCCACATCAGCTACTCAGCTGTCTCATTCTGCCCACCACCTCACAATCCCTCACACAGCATCCCCACGTCCCTACACAACCTCACGGTTCCTCTTCCCCATAGAGCAGGTCAATCGTGCGAGTGACATGCTACACCTGGGCTGTGACCTGTAGGTCAGAAGCAGGGAAGCAGGGCCTGCCCACCCTTGAGGAAAGTCCTCAACACTGGGGCATGGGGGTCCTTTAGCGATTGCCTGAGTTTGTCTGCCTGGGCCTCCCAGCAGGTGGCCTGCCCACCTTGCTGAATGCACCCCAGAGCAGGGACCTCACTTGCACACAGAGTCTGCCAAAAGATGTCCTCTAGTTGCCCGCTCTGTCTCTCATTGCTTTTAAGAGACGAAAAAGAAACCTGTAGGCTAAAGCCCACTGCCCTCCCTTTCTGAAGAGCCCTGGGTGCGACCTAGCCCAGCCACCTGCGTGGGTCTCTGTAGACATGGGTGTTTCGATGGCCTTCCCCTCACTTCTGCCCCCCGACCAGGTCCTTTTCCTCGCTTGCTCTTTTGAACACCCCCACCCTGCACCACTGACTTCCTGCTTTTGCAAGTAGTCTCATGACCCAAACCGAACAGTAGCAAGACTGGGCCTGGGGCCTTGGAGACCCTCCAAAGCCCACAATCTGAGTGTGTCAGACAAAGGACAGCCTGCAACCCACACCTCTGACCCATCCCCACACAACTGTATGGGAAGTGCATGTTGCTGGACACGCCTGTGCTTCAGGCCTGAGCCAGACAGAGAGCCCCTAGGCAGCCCTGCCCAGGACAGACCTCTGCCTCACTCTGCAGGCTGAGCAGAAGGCAGCAGAGGCTGCTGGCTGGCATCTGTCCAGACCCCACCCCCATGTTCTGTCCCATAACACATATGCAGCTGACAAACAGCTCATCCAGCGCTGTCGAACGTCACCGATTGGTCTCAGCGGGCCACTGCAGGCCACCTGCAGATTTTCATGTTTTAATTCCAGCAGTCAGCACAGGGAAATGAGATGGGCTTTTCAAATCAAAGCCTGTGCTCCCAGGGGACTGAACGGGCTGTGCACCAGCAGGGCGTGGAGAAGCTTGACAATGGGTCCTTGGGACAAGCCAGTGGCTCCCTTGCTCAGGGCTCGTGTGCACTGCATGGCCACTCCGCGTCCCCCTGACCAGTGGCAGGATCTTATTAAAGACAGATGTTATTTTCTTCAGGCTAGCTCCTTAGAGGACTGCATTCAACCCAGCAAACTCCTGCTGGGGGTCTTTAAGCCCCAGGCCTGTGGCGTAGAACTAGGGTTTCTCTGATGTCACAACTGACCTCTGGCTGGAGAGGGGCTGGACCTGAGCATCCCACAGCCTGGCTTCCTCTCCTGGCTCTGCCCAGGTCTGGCTGTGTAAGCTCACACACGTTACTCTGTGTGTTCCACTGTGACCCCAACCAACGAAAGACACAAAAGTTAGCAAGGCCAGGAGCTCCAAATCTGAGGAAAATGGGGGTGACCTCAGATGAGGTGCTGAGTCGCAAGGGACAATACACGCTGTCCACAGGGTCAAATCTACTCACCACCATCTCAGATGAGCACGGGCTATCACTGGGGCGGCCCAGGAAAACCACAGCAGAGATAGGACCATGGAGCGGTCAGGAGTCCGCTTGAGTCCCAGGGTCATGGCCAAGAACCAACAAGGGACCCTCGAAGGAACATCTCCTACTGCTTTTTCTTTCTATCAAACTTGCAGGGTTTTTTTTAAATCTATTTCCTGCTCCCCTCCCCCCCCCCGCCCCCAAGATGTGTGTACGTGTGTGTGTGTGTGTGTGTTTAAGTAAACTTGGCATTTTTTTTTTCAAAAGGAAAAATTTGCTAATTTCTTTCTTTACCTAGCGTAGACCCCCATGGGTCTAGACAACTCAGTCTTTGAAGCCAGGCCACCTTGAGCAGAAAAAGTACATATACTCAGTTTGTGGAAAAATAAGCATCAGAAAATACTCACTGTTCTTTATCACTGAAGGACAGCAAAGGGGAGAGAAAGGAAAGAATGAACAAAGTTAGGAAAGAAATCTTATCACAACACCAACACTGGCCTCAACCACCACATCGTTGGCATTGTGGTCATCTATTTCTACCGTTTTCAGCCGGTCTTTAGGCGACCTTGGCACATCTATAGCTGGGATAGTGTAGTGCCCAACTTGGATGAGGTTGGTCAATCAGTGTTAACTCAAGAGTACCTCTGTATTTGAGTGGGGCTTTGGGGAATTAAGGAGAAATCACCCAAGGATAGCATGGTCACCATCATCCTTAGTTTCTGTTACATCTGATGCTGGGGGAGAAGGACCACGCCCTGAGAAACAGAACCATTCAGTGTAGGGAAGCAGGCACCACCAATCTTAGCACGGGGATCTGCATCTCCACTTATAGACATGCAACCACAGGCAGGAAGTACCCTGTGTTTGTGCCTCAGTTCCAACTTTCCCTGTTTCCAGTCTTAGAATAGCAGGTGTGGGAGACCAGCAGCACCTCTTCTTGTATTGTCCCAGTGTGGGAAGCTGAGCCATCTCTCTAACCAGGCAAAGGGCAGGTGCAGTCACTCCGTCTCAAAGTCCCTGCTACCAATTTTGGACACAACCATTAGCTTCAAAGAGGCTGGGAGAGGAAGACATTTGAAAAATCACAAAGGCTGTTAAGTATATCTGGCTGGCCTGCAGCTAATCAAGTAGATATCTCCGTTTATGGGGGAAAGACTAGAGAAATGGGTGTCTTAGCACAACCACATTGCCGTAGAGTGGGTGGCCTGTGTGATTCGCCCATTAGCATTTATTAGGAAAGTAATTGTAATATCGCAAGGAAGCGCAGCGGCCGTCAGGCCAGCTGGATGTGCGTGGAATGCTGAAGAGCACGTTAATGAACCGCCATCCAGACGGTTGGAATAGCTCTAATGGAATTGTGAAGCAAATTGTTTGGCTTCGTGTCAACCGCAGGAAACTCTGACGGATGAGACTCTAATTAAGTGACATTTCTTAAATGAAATAAATATTTTACCCCAGCCACCCTTCAGGCAACTGTTTATCTTGTGGAGACACACTTTTTAGTTGACGGACTAGCCTCTGAAAATAAAGTTTGGCTCCAAGAAGAGGTGGTGGGGGGGGGCTTGGGAAATTGGGATTTTCTATCAAAAGTGAAACCGGCTGGAACCAGCACAATGGCGCATCACGTTATGCCTTGGCTTGCGGTGCCTGCATCCCATAGTGGGAGCACCAGTTTGAGTCCCACAGCTCTGCTTCTGATCCAACCTCCTGCTAATGCTCCTGGGAGACAGCGGATGGCAGCCCACGTCCTTTCTGCCTCCAAAGCCGTGATCTCAGTGAACATCTTTTCTTTGTAAGTAAATGGCTTCGGGTCTTTTGTTAAAGCAATAGAGAGTGAACCAAAGCTCATATCTTCATTGCAGGGATGGTGATGGGTATCTACTTATGCTTAAAATGACCAAACTGGGCTTTAAATTACTTTAGAAGCACACAGCTGAAGGCACATTAAGTGTTATCTCTTAACGTGTAGAGAAAAAGGAGGCCGAGTCTAGAATAGGGAGCTATGAGCAGAAAAACAAGGCAAACGTGAACTCTGTGTCCCAGAGGCCAACCAAGAAGCTGAGCCCGAGACCACCTCCCCTGCCCGCTTTAGCGGGCCCCTCGAGGGGAGCTATTATGATCCTGGCCAAGCAGGACACCTGACTCTTGGCAGAAGAAAGAGAACCTCGAGAGAGAGGTCCCTGGGATCTCACAGATGGCACTCACACACAAAATGAGCAGGCGTTCAAAGAAACAAATCATTATGACTGAGGATTAAAGACAACAGATTTCAATCATTGGGAACTTCAGGCCGTGGTGGGCCAGTAGCTGCAGCCAATTTCCACGGGGTGTCACTGGATAAAAACCTGCGAGGAAATACATAGCAGTGCACCATTTTCCACAGCACTTTCATGGTACATGTGCAAAAGAAATAAATATTACCATGATTAAAGCAATTGAAAAGTCATTAATTTTGAGTATTTACTACCTTTAGTACGATTAAACAATAAGCTTTTGGCCCAGCACAGTAGCTCAGTGACTAAAGTCCTCACCTTGCATGTGCCAGGATCCCATATGGTCACTGGTTCTAATCCTGACAGCCCCACTTCCCATCCAGCTCCCTGCTTGTGGCCTGGGAAAACAGTCAAGGACAGCCCAAAGCCTTGGGACCCTGCACCTGAGTGAAGACCCATGAGAAACTCCTGGCTCCTGGCTCCAGATCGGCTAAGCTCTGGCCATTGAGGCCACTTGGGGAGTAAACCAGCGGACAGAAGATCTTTCTCTCTGTCTCTTTTTCTCTCTGTATATCTGCCTTCCCGATAAAAATGAATTTAAAAAAAATTGTAAAGTTATTATTTAAATGACCAAAGATATAGAAGTCTTGATCTGCAATAATAAATGATCTTTGTTAAAAATCCTTCCCACCTTTAAGAGCAAATCTCTACCTCTGACATCTAGTCCTTCCATTAATATAACCGTATTCGCAATGATTCTTCCCAGAATTTAAGCTCTGACATCGACACTAAAATCCTCACTGACATAAACCCAGGGAATGGTGGAGACTGTAGCAAACTGGGAAACTTTCAGCAATCCACGGAGACAGACTGCGAGCCAACACCTGCAGACTCGTGGCATTTTGGTCCCCTGTTGTTTAAGAGAAGCCGTCGAGCTGCACTTTGACGTGACGTCTCAGCTCGAGTCCTGCTGGTTTATAACCTCTGACTTGGCCTGGCTTCCCCATCTGATTGCTATTGGAAAGAGAGAAAGAGCTTTGCCTTTGGTCTGAGCAGATCTGTTCGGGGCTGCAGCTGGGAACCCAGGCTAGGCTTTCCCCACCTGGTCAGTACCCCCACATTCCTCCAGGTCCCTAGATCTGGAGCAAAGAGAATTGGGTCTTCTCATCCCAAACTTGCAAAGCAGTAAGGTCAGGGGGAGGCTTTCGTGAGAAGCCTTGCAGCGTGTCCCTTCTTCCCTACCCTAGGGGAGGAAACTCCACTTCTCTCCTCGCTCTTCCTTCCTTCCTTCAGTCTTTCAACTGTGGTACAGCCAGGACCTCGCAGACGCAACAAACCCCTGAGACTTACTTGGATTGAAGGGGCCGGTCACTGGGGTACATCCAGCGGTTAGAGCTGTTGCTGACCACGGTGTCAGTCATGGTGCCGGAGTCCCGTGTCCCTGGAAAACAGCAACCCAGAAAGGGCGTCACCCAGCCATGTGGTCACTCCTTCCACCTCAGGTCCCTGCCCCAGGCCACGTGCACCGGGGTCTGCAGGTGCTAGGGGAGGAACCCTGCCCCACCCTTGGAAGGTACAGCTGTGACAAGCAGAGGACCCGGGCAGACAGCCCTCTGCAGAAATCAAGTCCTCCCTCCCCTGCCCCTGTTGCCACAAGGCTCCACAGCCTGGAGAATCGAAGTAAGAGTTCTCAGCTCGAACCCAGGCTTTCCTGCAGCCTGTTGCCTGAGTTCTTTCTCTGAAGTCCCTTCCCAGCATGGCTCTTTATCCTTAAATACTCCCTGCATCCAAGTCAGAAGAAAATCCTCTTGGTCCAATCTTCAGGGTGGACTTGGAGTCTGACCACGCTGTCAGCCTGCACGGCTGCCACAATGACCCAAACAACCACTACCCTGGCCTGCAGAATCATGGCCTCCTTGGCCACCTTGCACCTGCCCTAGATCTAGCCTGGTCTTGTCCACACAGGGAGAGATGTGCAGTGTGCTCCAGCTTACAAAAACAGTCCCACCATGATCAGAGACAGGGTGGTCACACAACACACCAACTGCCTGCCAAGGCATCTCTACAATGGAAATGAAAGTTCGTGGCGCCCATGCAGAAACTTGTGGGTGAAGGACCACAGCAGCATTCTTCGTGATAGCCGGAAAGCGGAAAAAAGCAATGCTCCCCAGCGGACAAATGTGTAAGCCAGATGTGGTGTGAGATGACGCTCAGCCCTAGTGCACACTACCCCGTGGGTGGGCACACCTGGGGACGGTGCAAGGAAACTATGTTAGACATGAACGGCCACGGGTGTAGGATTCCATTTCTGTTCAATGTGCAGGACAGCCATGTCTACCAGAGACGAGTGCACCAATGGCCACCCAGGGCCCGAGGGAGAGGAAGGGCTCCAAGGACTCTTAGGGCAATCATGAAAATATTCTATGACTGACGAGGATGCAGATGTAAGTCCAGAATCCACAGGAGGTCAGTGCGTGGCCCATTTTCCTTGGGTTCATTGTGTGATGGTGAGGAAAAGGGCATCATTGCTTTGGAAAATAGGGCGACAGCATCTATTAAAGCAAGACATTTGTTTGCTCAGCGACTGAGGAATGTGACTTAGACGTATACCCAAGAGAAAGTGTTTATGTTCTGAGACACACCTAGCCATGTTCATGAGCACACAGCTAAAAACCTGGCACCCTGGGCACCCCTACCTACATGCCCATCAAGAGGACGCTGGGTACCCCTCCCTGGCTTGGGAGGAATACTGGTCAGCAATGACCAACACACTCCTGCTGTCTAGAACAACAGGTACGGATCTCACATGCAATGTGCTTGGGGGAAAGAAGCTGGGATATTTATTTGAAGTTAAGAAAGGGCAGAACTCTTTGGTGGGATAGAAATTGGAGTAAATCAACTGCTGAATTTGGCGAGGGTGCTGATGGGGAGTGAGGATGAGGGGGGCTTTGTGGGTGCAGACCACTTTGTGGGTCTTCAAAAACAGAAAAAAGAGACAGCTCCCCCATGGCGAAGGAAGTATGCCGATAAACTCCCTGATGTGTCCTAGTGGTCTGTGGCAAGAGCTGAGTGGTCATGTCTGGGGCCATCAGGGCCTGTGTCCCCTAGGGTTGGGCCACCTCTGCCGCCTGGGATCTGGAAGCACTTGGGCAGCTGGAAATGTGCTGCCCCTGCTGAGGCAGGAAGGTCTGAGGCAAGGGAGACACCTGCTGGCAGGCTCTTTGCTCTCTAAACTTGGCAGTCCCCAGGCTGGAGTGTGGCTGGCCCACTGTTTGCAGCATCCATCAGGGAACACAGCACTAAGCCTGCAATGGCCAAACTTGGCTGCCTTTCAGGCCATACACATCTCCAGACTACATGTCACTCTAGACAACCCTGGTGCCTTCAGCTGCCTGGCCCCTCGCCACAGTTCTCAGTGCACTTAACACCCCAGGAGTGGACTCCTTGTCCAGCATTCACCCCAGTCTGCGAGGAGATGGAAAGGTGTGAGCAATGCAGGTGTGAGCGAAACAGGCCCTTTCCATGATACTGTTCAGAGAGGATTGTCCACCTGCTCAACATCACACAGCCACCAGGCGGCACGGCTGGGCTGTGCGGCTCCTCATGACTCTGCAGCACACGTTTCTGTTTGTATCCCTCCCTCGCCTTTGGGTTGCTAAGTGGTGAGGGTGACCTGGCCCCCTGGGCCTTGGCTGCATTCCCACCTTTCGGCTGCCCACCCGAGCCCCTGCCAGCAGAGCTATGCCGGATCACTCACTTCGGCTCAGACAGGGCCAAGGCCGTGCCTGATGCCCAGTGTCACAGCCTTCAACAGCAGGTTTATCTCCCCATCTGTTCTGCCTGAGCCAGGAATACTGGACGCGACCTGCAGCTTTTTGATAGTTGCGTCTCTAACGCATGTAGGGTCAGCCTCCAGGGCCCATGACCCAGGCAACCATGCAGCATCCTGGGATAGGAAAGTGTCCCGACTTAGGATGACCCCATACTCGGCCTCGCTCTGCCACGGTTGTCTTTTGGATTTTTAATTAGTTCTGAACAAGGAACCTGTTCTTTACATGGTCAATCTTGAGCCAGTTAGTATGAGCCTGGCATGGTATATGATTGGGAAATCTTCACAGAAGCTACAGAGCCCAGCAAATGTTGGGTGGGCACTTGGCTCAGTGGCTAGAATGCCACCCACATCCCACATCAGAGTGCCTGAGTTTGGATCCTAGTCCTGCTTCTTGGTCCAACTTCCTGCTAATGCATCCCCTGGGGGCAGGGGCAGTGGTAGCTATCCATCCTGGGGGCTTGGACTGTGTTCCAGGCTCCTGGCTTTGGCCCAGCCCCGCCATGGCAGTTGCAAGTATTTGGGGCGTGAACCAGTAGATGGAAGATCTCTCCTCCTTTCTCTCTGGACAGAATCCAAGCTAAAAATATGTCTGGCCCAGGCAGTATTGTTTAAAGTAAAACAAAGTCAGTATCTCAAAAGCACAGGGTTTAATTAAACATGAAGATTGGCAGCTTCTCTTTAAAAAATTGGAAGAATCAAAACACATTTCTATGCTACTTCTCATTTGCTGTGAGCCAGGCACCAGACTAGAGACATGGGGTACAGCATTAAAACCAACATGAAGGGACAGCAATGTGGCACAGTGGGCAAGGTTGCCACCTATGATGCTGGCATCCCACATGGCTTGGTGTCTGATCTCTCTTTGCTAACGTGCCTAGGAAAGCGGTGGAGGATGGCTCAAGTTCTTGGATCCCTGAATTCACGTGGGAGACCTGGAAGAACTCCTCGTCCCTGGCTGCACTGGCCCAGCTCCAGCCATTTATAAAAATATAAAACAAGTGAGGTGCTACTGAATGTATCACAGAAAAATGAAACAGAAAGGAATTTGGAAAGTATGGGGGAGAGGAAGAGGAGTCTGATTTTAAGTAGGGGGCTGGAGTGGACCTTTACGAAGAGATATTATCAAGCAAAGACCTTGTGAGGGGTAATGGACCAAGTCATGTGAATATCGGGGGGTAGAGATTTTCAAGCAAAGAGGAGAATAAGTGCAAAGGCCCTGGGGCAGCATGTGGTTGGCCCATTGGTGGCACAGCTGGTGAGGCATAAGCAAGGTGGGGGCTGAGCTCAGAGAGGTCGGGGGAGTAGGGAAAGCTGTGGTGGATGTCATTGACGTCCAGTGTGCAAGTCTTGGGGGCTACTGAGGGACAGAGAAGTCCATCAGTGGGAGGCACCAGAGACTGTGTTGCCAGGCACAGCCTTGCCTGGGCAAGGAAGGACACTTAGGGCAGCAAACAGGAAAACGACATTTGCTTGTGTTGTTTACGTTTGTTGGGGGAACTGAATGTTCTTTGGTGCCATTCCTGCCTGCTCTCTCAGCCCCAGCAGCCCTCGCACGCCCAGGCACATCCAGATGGTACAGGATGCTGGGGGCTTCTCCTGGCTCCCAGAGCCAGCTGGCCTGGAAAGCATGTGGTTCCTTCCATCCTGAGCTGGCTGCTGCCAGTGACATGCCCAGAGATCCACCAGCCTGCAAGGTGCTGGAGACAAAACCAAGCGGGCTGGTGGCCGACTGCTTGGGGCTCTCCCGTGGCCATGCAGCAACAACAGATGGCTCCTGCCGTGAGTCTTCAGATAATCCCACATGCTAGGCTGTGGGGCAGGCACGGGGCCACGCTTGCAAGTAGCATGGTCTTGGGCAGGTGCTTAATGTCCGTGGGCTTGTTTCTTCATCAATACACACTCAGTACTACCGGCCTCGACCTAATCACGACTTCAGATGTGTCTGCCACTGGGCAACATGAGGCGACCTCATTCGGTTCTCCGAATCACTCATGATGAAGGTCCTAGTACCTCCATTTTGCAGATGGGGATATTGAGGGAAGGGAAAGCGATTTGCCCACCCAGCTGGAGGTTGGCAGATCTGGGAGATGTATTCCCACAACACCTGTCACCAGGCACCGCATGCTTAATCACTCCACCATATGTTCTCTTGGATTGTGGTGAAAAGCAATATACAAAAATGCAGGCAAGACCATGCGTGCAGTCCTGGGAATGCAGCAGGTGCTCAAGAAATGCTCCTTGTCACCAGCACGACTGTCACCCACCCTTGCTGCAGAAGTGATCACATCATGGGAATGCGACTTTAAGGGCACAACACGGCTTGCCACAGTGCTCCCAATGACCTCCATAGATGTTGTCCCCAGAAAGTGCACCAGAAGGCCCCCTTCTATCTCCTCTAGGTTGGGAAAGAGTTGAGCTCCCTGCAGATTTGGTAGACTGGTGGCAAAAAATAGTGCCATTTCTGCCTTCTTGCATCCGTGTGCCTTTTAGCTCCTATTCAGAGATGAACTTTCCCTTTGTATGTGAGTTGGCCAGGATACTTTCTGTGGCTAAAAGGACACTACACAACAACTTACACCTAGTTTTCAG